GAGTCATTTGCGCCTTTTTTTAGGTTATTGAGGTACTTCTTGAGATATGCTCACCATATAACTGCTGCATATTCCAATTTTGGTCTCACGAAGGTCGTGAACAGTTCCTTTAATATTTCACCATCCATGTCTTTAAAAGCAATTCTGAAGTATGGACTCCCGGCAAAATGTAACATGTGACAGCTTTCTATCCAGATCTACTCCTGGAATTTCAAAGATTGAGGAAAGATGTTCACGTTCGTAAGTACTTGCGTAACTGCTTCGTGAATCTGGCCACTGGGCATCATTGAGGGATGTACGGACAACACGTGACCTCCGTGCTAAGTGGCTCGTCTTCAGTCACGAACGGACTTTGCCGCACGTGAACACGTGAACACTTTGTACAAAATTGTTCCTGGGTCGTAATCATTTTGTTTGGCCAACGCAGTCTCTAAATCGCAACCTAATTGAAGAGCAGTTCACAGGTGCAAACTGCTGCATAGTCTGCAAGAGATGGAAAAGGTTTCACTTGCAGTGTGTACTCAATCCTAATGATGAGTTTCAGAACTTATTGAAAGGCTACTGGATTCTCTTATTTCTATTATCAGAAAATAGACAATAAAGAAAAGAGGGAAATTAAAATTACCGATGAATCTTTAGTTGCCGAGCTGTGTTTAATATTATATATATCAGATATTTAGAAAAATGTACATTGTGTTTTCAAAATTTGTATTCCTAATACTGATAGTCTTAAGCTTGTTCATATTTCAGCATTTATTGTATAAATAAAAGTATTGCGACCCCTGAATATTTCTCAACTATAAACCAACTCTCAGTAAAATTTAGTGAGTTGTACGAATAAATTTTGAGCCAACTGTGTGCTTGGTAAAAGCAAAAACGTATGATTATATATTCATAAAATTGTTCCCCCCCAAGATTCATGATCCCAACACTGCTATCATCTACGTTCAATGATAACGACTTTAACGATAGATGTTATTTCCCTCCGGAATTGTCTAAGAGATATACATACACCAATCAAAAACACGCCGAGTGTTTACATCAACACGAGTGATATAAGCTTACAAAAAATACCTTCCCGCTAAAAGAAACTATCATTAAAACTAGATTTTGAGAAGAAAATCGGCGATTACAATTAAAGAAGAGTAGATTTCAGTTTTAAAGTTATCACTAAGATATCATGCGCATCACTAAGATATCGTGCGCACAATGGAAAAGGCCTGAGATGAGATGAATCAGCTCTCATCACTCCTAACTCATCGGTAATTGTATATAATTTGCCCGGATTAAATCATTTTAGTAAGCAATGGTCTCGTAGGTTATCCGGGAACCAGTTGGAACTGATCACATTAAAGATAAGGAGCTCAACAGGAAGGGGATTAACACCGAAATATGCCTTCAGCAAGCATTGTTTCATGCCGCCAGTGAATGTTCCAGGCATAAGGCTTCATACACATTATACATATTTATCTCTAACATAAATGTTTTCACATATCTTTCAAGATTCCAGCTACTGTATATCTCATCACTAGATTTAATCATCTGAGACGTGTTTACCCTTTTTCAATGATTCTCTTCTCGCCTGGCTAAGCCTTCTCCACCACCCAGACCGCTCTTCCTATTCTCCTTAGGAGACCTGAAGTGAGGCTTCTCTGGCATGCCTTGCACTCAGATCAAACCCAGGTGTTGTTGCATCTCAGAGCTGCAACAACACAACAGGTGATTGCAGCCTTCCATAAATGAGGGCTCTCCATGCATGGGATTGTCTATTAGCAGCTCCATGTCAGCAACAAGCACACACCTTCACCCACTATATTTATGTAATACAGTAAGCTTTGTTCTGATATTGCAATCCACACAGAATATAGCTGCATTTGGGACCAGGCAGAGGCTGGCAGATTCTGTCTGCGTGGACTGCTCCAGAAAAGCAGAGTACGCTGGCGACTCGTTACATCCAAGTCCACAGCAGACACAGAACATCGTGTCCTGATTACCTCCCAATTCTGCTCTATTTTGCAGCAAGCAAAATACAAGTACAAGCAGCTGACCCACACAGCATAACACTCCTTCAGGTAGAAGGAGCAAATTGCGGATTTACATTATGTATATCCTGACCTTGTCTGGGTCCTCAAATCACACCCGATGTTCCCGGGTTCGATCCCGGGTGATTGAATGGTTTGGTTCGTTGCTTGGGTGAGGGATTGATTTGCTGATCGGTTGGTTGATTGATTCGGTGGTTGGATGTTTGGTTTTTTGATTGGGTGTTTGGGTAGCTGGTTACATGGTTGGTTGATTGGGCAGCTGGTTGATTGGGTAGCTGGTTTGTAGGTTGACTGGGTAGCTGGTTTGTAGGTTGACTGGGTAGCTGATTGGTTGGTTGATTGGGGAGCTGGTTAGTTGGTTGATTGGGTAACTGGTTGGTTGATTGGGTAGCTGGTTGGTTGGTTGATTGGGGAGCTGGTTGGTTGGTTGGTCAGTTGGTTTGATCGGGTGGGTGATTGATTGGTTGGGTGATTGGATGGTTAATTAGGTGGTTGATTGTGTGTTTGGTTGTGTGGGTGGTTAGCTGAATAGGCTATGTTACGCTAGATTAGGATAGATTCATGGAAAACAATTCAACTGTTTAACCCAACCAGAAACGTACAAACCCAAGCAACCCTCTTAACCTATCGAGCCTGATGCAGGGAAATCGCCAATATTATAGTGCTTAAACGTTCCAATTCCGTAATAAAAGCGACGGTGAGAACCCACCAAACACACACCGAAACTACGACATTTCTACAACGTTCGAACAAGTTTTAACACCTCCTAACCAGTTATAACAACCAATATAGCAAGTTGTAACAACGTTCTAATACGTCATAAACACGTCAAGCCAAGTTTTAAGAACTTTATTACAAGTTGTAACAAGCAGAAAAGAGAGACTGTTACGGTTTGTGTTTCCAGGGAAGACAGAATGATACGAGATATGAAGTTCGTATCAGTGGAGGTCTCTCTCCACACCTATATCTCCGAGGCCTCTCCACCTGCGTCTGTCTGTCGAGTCTTTAAAAACCTCCATGTTGCCTGCCATCTGATAATAGCGTTTTCAGAAATGACTTGCTTGAGAGGCTGATAGGTCTTAAAGAGTTATGGTGATTGTAACCTGGGCTAAGGTTTCACCCACGGCTTTAGTGCCTACTTGTGAGATCTGTATACCTCTTATCTCCATGATGGCGGCCTAGTCGGTATTTACCAAGTTTACGAGTCCCAAAGCGCGACGAGCTTGTCCTCAACTCAGAGTTATTACGGTTTAGGAGAACCTCATAGCGCTTCGCAGGTCGTAAAGTGCTTACTAAACAACGAGCTCCGCCGCCTTGAGCGACGTGCGAGAGGCAGAGATCTCTTATGTGGACACGTAAGTGGTTGGCGAGTCCTGCCTTTGTTCTGGGGCGCTACGTGGGCATAGACACAGCTCCGGGGTACCTCATGGGCACGGACACAACCCCTGAGCGCTTCATGGGCACGGACACAACCCCGGGGTATCTCATGGGCACGGACACAACCCCGGAGTATCTCATGGGCACGGACACAACCCCGGAGTATCTCATGGGCACGGACACAACCCCGGGGTACCTCATGGGCACGGACACAACCCCTGAGCGCTTCATGGGCACGGACACAACCCCGGGGTACCTCATGGGCACGGACACAACCCCTGAGCGCTTCATGGGCACGGACACAACCCCGAAGCGCCACATGGGCACGGACACAGCCCCTGAGCGCTTCATGGGCACGGACACAACCTCCGGAGCACCTCATGGGCACGGACACAACCCCTGAGCGCTTCATGGGCACGGACACAACCCCTGAGCGCTTCATGGGCACGGACACAACCCCTGAGCGCTTCATGGGCACGGACACAACCCCTGAGCGCCACATGGGCACGGACACAACCCCGGGGTATCTCATGGGCACGGACACAACCCCTGAGCGCTTCATGGGCACGGACACAACCCCGAAGCGCCACATGGGCACGGACACAACCCCGAAGCGCCACATGGGCACGGACACAGCCCCTGAGCGCTTCATGGGCACGGACACAACCCCCGGAGCACCTCATGGGCACGGACACAATCCTTGAGCACCTCATGGGCACGGACACAATCCTTGAGCACCTCATGGGCACGGACCAAGCTCTTAGGGCCCAGCTTACGTCTAGAGGAAAAATTAAAAAAACGCTTCATAACCAAATTACTGTCAACATTAGTGTTAGATATTGTGAGATACAGGAGTACACGCCTTCTGGCTCCTGTTAGCATCTCTTAACTCCTGTTAAAGCTCCTGTTAGTTCTGCCTTCTCATAACTGCATTGCTATGCTGTGGGAGCTGCAGTATTGACCCCTTTTCCAGGTGTTATCAGCTCGTTCTGTAGGGTCTGATAAGCGTCAAATTAGAAGTGGTTCTCTCTAACCAAAAGCGTGAGATTCTTGACAGTTCGTCTAATTTAGTAAAGCCAATCCTCATTAGTCAGAGAAAGCGTCGATATCACGGCGCTTTTACTTTCAGTAAAGCTTCGGATTTTGGACGCTGTGGTCGCAAGCGTCGAATTTGCGGTGCTTTGACTGTGAGGACAGGTTGACATGATAGCTATAACGTCCGCTGTAAATGTTGAAGAAAACAGGATAACACAATATTGAAGAAAACAGGATAACACTGAATAGTGAAGAATACAAGATATCACTGAATGTTGAAAAATACAAGATAACTCTGATGGTAAGGGATATAAAGAAACTTTTCATGTTTTAAGAATATAGAGATTGTTTTGAATTTTAAAGAATATAGGATAACTGAATGTCGAATAAGATGAAGATAACTTTTAACACGGTTTCTAGCTTAGTGTCTTGTGTATATATTAAACTGGTTTTGGGATTGAAAAAAAAATCTCATATACATATATCTTTTTTTATAATATTAGGGGTTAAAGAAATGCCATTTAAACATTAATGTAATCAATAACCTCATGTTATTAAGAAGGTGTTCACAAGCCTAGGGGCTGATGACGGAATTATGGTATTGGAACCCCTCTCAGCCATATTGGAACCCCTCTCAGCCATATTGGAACCCCTCTCAGCCATATTGGAACCCCTCTCAGCCATATTGGAACCTCTCTTTGTCATATTGGAACTACTCTCTGTCATATTGGAACCTCTCTCGGCCATGTTGGAACCCCTCTCAGCCATATTGGAACCCCTCTCAGGCATATTGGAACCCCTCTCAGCCATATTGGAACCACTCTCAGCCATATTGGAACCACTCTCAGCCATATTGGAACCACTCTCAGCCATATTGGAACCACTCTCAGCCATATTGGAACCACTCTTAGCTATATTGGGACACCTCTCAGCCATATTGGAACCCTTCATAGCCATATTGGAACCACTCTCTGCCATATTGGAACCACTCTCTGCCATATTGGAACCACTCTCTGCCATATTGGAACCACTCTCTGCCATATTGGAACCATTATTTATCCCATAGTGTAAATAAATTGGCTGACAATTTTTTTGATGGCATTCGAAACCTTTGATCGTTTTCAACCTTTTAGGCTTTGTTTTGAAATCCTAAATTGGCGAATTTTATTACTTTGTAATTGTCATGCCTATTTATCACCCTCGCAGACGTCGCTCGGACACGGCTGGAACACGTCACCTATTCATAGATATTTTTTTCCCATTTACCAGTCATTTAAAATTATTCCTAGAGCGATATGGATGTTTATTTTTATATTAAGACCAACACCACCTCTATTTTAGACTTTTGTTGGACTTTTTAATATATAAACAAGACTTATATATATATATATATATATATATATATATATATATATATATATATATATATATATATATATATATGACACAACTCACTGGGCATTAAAAAAAACTTAAGCAATATTTTTAAGCTAAAATGTTCAAAAATTAATTATACTGTTTTTTCATAAATCTTCTACGAACCGCTGCCGCGTTGACCACGTTTTGAGTCGATGCATAGAAATTGTAGTCTTTAGCCTCCATTAAGAAGATCTTTAGCCGAGATAAGCGAGATGTTTGTGAGGCTGCGTTACCCTAGCGACCGGCTAGAGGGGAGCCGACATACAAGGAAACTCGCCAGTGTTGATATTGTGTTATTGATAGCTCGGTGTGTGTGTGTGTGTGTGTGTGTTTGTACAGTGTTAGTGGTGTTGTGCACGTGTGTGTCTGCGAGGGTATATATATGTGTGTGTGTGTGTGTGTGTGTGTGTGTGTGTGTGTGTGTGGTTGTTTGTGGGGCGGACTCGTCTGTTTGTACTCACCCACATGTGCTGGCCTTATGTAGGTCGTTTGGCTATAAGTTGTTTAATATAATAGCTCTATTCATTTGTTGTTCTTGGTTAATCTTGTTGTTCTTAGATCAGGTGTACTTTGAATACTACGAATTGACTTAGCATCAACATATACCTCGGCTAATCTATATCATTTATCTCCGACACTCAGGTTGTGAAAATGAGTTGCTGAGATCTCTCTATTCTCATGTCATGCCGACACTCTATCGACTGGGTTATTTGTAGTTTCAATGAGGAATTCTCTCTTCTCAGTTTTGTCTCCAGGATTCCATGTATATCCCGTCGTTCTGTTCTGTTTTTCTTTGCTATAAACAATGCGTCTCTGTCTACTTAGTTCCCTTAATGATCTTGTATGTGGTAATCTTGTCTGCTCTATGGCTGCTTTAATCCAGTGTAGTGAATTCAATTGGTTAGAGATTTTGAGGATGACTGTTAATAGCTTCTAGAGTTATGCTCCTCATAGCTTCGGTGTTAATCAGGCTTTAACTTGATGGGTGTACAATGTATAGAGAAACTAATGGGTATCTATGCAAGGGAAGGCTCTCAGCCTGGTAACAGGAGCCAGCAGTCGTCTGGTCCTGTACCCACCTGGGTAAACAAAAAAATCTTTCCAAGGGAGAATATAGTTAAAAATTTTACCAGGATTAAAAGACACAGTCGGTTTTCTAAGATTATTGACATATCAACTGAGCTACACACACTGTAAGGAGTTTTCTGTGGAGGATTGAGTGAACTGTCAAAAGTTTCTTAGAATTTATTTCAATTTAATTTGAATAAAGCTGGCGAAGGGTAGGGCCATTATTTCTCAATTTTGACACAAAACAAAGTATTAAGTAGAACTGTTCTCTCGCAAATAAAGTGTAATCTTAGTTCCTTTCTCATGTTAACAGTTCTGACAGTTCTGGGACAACCCAGGATATGGTTCACATAGCTGTTCATTTTACTATATGGAGGAACGAGAATTTGATTTATTTTAAGCTGCCTCGGTTATGAATCAATCGCTGCCTTGTGGGATAGTGAGCAATAGAAACTTGCATTTACAAATTCATACACTGAAACGTGTATAATATTTGATGTAGGAGATGATAACCTCGTGAAATACATCTGTTCTTCAATCTACAGTTTAGAGCTGTTGTGTATAATCGCCTCTCCTGTGTGGCAGTGAATACAAGCGGTGTCTCACTGTAGTAAGACTGAGTTGAATTACTCAGATTGTTAAGAAAGGAACACACTTAGAAAGGGGTTAGGATACGGATTTGGGATGGGACGGGGTGAAGGAATGGTGCCCAACCACTTAGATGGTCGGGGGGATTGCATAATTAGGCCTAGGACAAGTTAGGTTGGTAGCTAAGTTGTTGCAGTTTTTATTTTGCCTGTTGATAAATAGTGAACATTGCGGACCTTTTTCCCTTATTTTTTTTAGGTGGTTTCGCTAGTCAATATTTTGTTCGTTCCTTCCCTGGTGGCTGTAGTTGCTGCCTGTGGTGCTCTGTGTTGCTGGGGGAAGTCCCTGGTGGCTGTAGTTGCTGCCTGTGGTGCTCTGTGTTGCTGGGGGAAGTCCCTGGTGGCTGTAGTTGCTGCCTGTGGTGCTCTGTGTTGCTGGGGGAAGTCCCTGGTGGCTGTAGTTGCTGCCTGTGGTGCTCTGTGTTGCTGGGGGAAGTCCCTGGTGGCTGTAGTTGCTGCCTGTGGTGCTCTGTGTTGCTGGGGGAAGTCCCTGGTGGCTGTAGTTGCTGCCTGTGGTGCACTGTGTTGCTGGGGGAAGTCCCTGGTGGCTGTAGTTGCTGCCTGTGGTGCTCTGTGTTGCTGGGGGAAGTCCCTGGTGGCTGTAGTTGCTGCCTGTGGTGCTCTGTGTTGCTGGGGGAAGTCCCTGGTGGCTGTAGTTGCTGCCTGTGGTGCTCTGTGTTGCTGGGGGAAGTCCCTGGTGGCTGTAGTTGTTGCCTGTGGTGTTCTGTGTTGCTGGGGGAAGTCACTGGTGGCTGTAGTTGCTGCCTGTGGTGCTCTGTGTTGCTGGGGGAAGTCCCTGGTGGCTGTAGTTGCTGCCTGTGGTGCTCTGTGTTGCTGGGGGAAGTCCCTGGTGGCTGTAGTTGCTGCCTGTGGTGCTCTGTGTTGCTGGGGGAAGTCCCTGGTGGCTGTAGTTGCTGCCTGTGGTGCTCTGTGTTGCTGGGGGAAGTCCCTGGTGGCTGTAGTTGCTGCCTGTGGTGCTCTGTGTTGCTGGGGGAAGTCCCTGGTGGCTGTAGTTGCTGCCTGTGGTGCTCTGTGTTGCTGGGGGAAGTCCCTGGTGGCTGTAGTTGCTGCCTGTGGTGTTCTGTGTTGCTGGGGGAAGTCCCTGGTGGCTGTAGTTGCTGCCTGTGGTGCTCTGTGTTGCTGGGGGAAGTCCCTGGTGGCTGTAGTTGCTGCCTGTGGTGCTCTGTGTTGCTGGGGGAAGTCCCTGGTGGCTGTAGTTGCTGCCTGTGGTGCTCTGTGTTGCTGGGGGAAGTCCCTGGTGGCTGTAGTTGCTGCCTGTGGTGTTCTGTGTTGCTGGGGGAAGTCCCTGGTGGCTGTAGTTGCTGCCTGTGGTGTTCTGTGTTGCTGGGGGAAGCCCCTGGTGGCTGTAGTTGCTGCCTGTGGTGTTCTGTGTTGCTGGGGGAAGTCCCTGGTGGCTGTAGTTGCTGCCTGTGGTGTTCTGTGTTGCTGGGGGAAGTCCCTGGTGGCTGTAGTTGCTGCCTGTGGTGCTCTGTGTTGCTGGGGGAAGTCCCTGGTGGCTGTAGTTGCTGCCTGTGGTGCTCTGTGTTGCTGGGGGAAGTCCCTGGTGGCTGTAGTTGCTGCCTGTGGTGCTCTGTGTTGCTGGGGGAAGTCCCTGGTGGCTGTAGTTGCTGCCTGTGGTGCTCTGTGTTGCTGGGGGAAGTCCCTGGTGGCTGTAGTTGCTGCCTGTGGTGCTCTGTGTTGCTGGGGGAAGTCCCTGGTGGCTGTAGTTGCTGCCTGTGGTGCTCTGTGTTGCTGGGGGAAGTCCCTGGTGGCTGTAGTTGCTGCCTGTGGTGCTCTGTGTTGCTGGGGGAAGTCCCTGGTGGCTGTAGTTGCTGCCTGTGGTGCTCTGTGTTGCTGGGGGAAGTCCCTGGTGGCTGTAGTTGCTGCCTGTGGTGCTCTGTGTTTCTGGGGGAAGTCCCTGGTGGCTGTAGTTGCTGCCTGTGGTGCTCTGTGTTGCTGGGGGAAGTCCCTGGTGGCTGTAGTTGCTGCCTGTGGTGCTCTGTGTTGCTGGGGGAAGTCCCTGGTGGCTGTAGTTGCTGCCTGTGGTGTTCTGTGTTGCTGGGGGAAGTCCCTGGTGGCTGTAGTTGTTACCTGTGGTGCTCTGTGTTGCTGGGGGAAGTCCCTGGTGGCTGTAGTTGCTGCCTGTGGTGTTCTGTGTTGCTGGGGGAAGTCCCTGGTGGCTGTAGTTGCTGCCTGTGGTGTTCTGTGTTGCTGGGGGAAGTCCCTGGTGGCTGTAGTTGCTGCCTGTGGTGCTCTGTGTTGCTGGGGGAAGTCCCTGGTGGCTGTAGTTGCTGCCTGTGGTGCTCTGTGTTGCTGGGGGAAGTCCCTGGTGGCTGTAGTTGCTGCCTGTGGTGCTCTGTGTTGCTGGGGGAAGTCCCTGGTGGCTGTAGTTGCTGCCTGTGGTGTTCTGTGTTGCTGGGGGAAGTCCCTGGTGGCTGTAGTTGTTACCTGTGGTGCTCTGTGTTGCTGGGGGAAGTCCCTGGTGGCTGTAGTTGCTGCCTGTGGTGTTCTGTGTTGCTGGGGGAAGTCCCTGGTGGCTGTAGTTGCTGCCTGTGGTGTTCTGTGTTGCTGGGGGAAGTCCCTGGTGGCTGTAGTTGCTGCCTGTGGTGTTCTGTGTTGCTGGGGGAAGTCCCTGGTGGCTGTAGTTGCTGCCTGTGGTGTTCTGTGTTGCTGGGGGAAGTCCCTGGTGGCTGTAGTTGCTGCCTGTGGTGTTCTGTGTTGCTGGGGGAAGTCCCTGGTGGCTGTAGTTGCTGCCTGTGGTGTTCTGTGTTGCTGGGGGAAGTCCCTGGTGGCTGTAGTTGCTGCCTGTGGTGTTCTGTGTTGCTGGGGGAAGTCCCTGGTGGCTGTAGTTGCTGCCTGTGGTGTTCTGTGTTGCTGGGGGAAGTCCCTGGTGGCTGTAGTTGCTGC